GAAAGCCAGCTGGAAGGCTTTAGGCCAATCACCAAGAGACTGGGAGTTCTAGTCCCGCCTTAAGCAGGAAAGCCAACTAGGGGACTTAAGGCCAACTCCTCTCTCTCAGCCCAAGCCACCTTACAAGGTTGTTGTGGGGAAAACAGGGGGAGTGAAGAATATGTTTTTCACCACATTCTTTGAGAAATGACACCAGTTATTTTCCCCACAACAGCAGCCAGGTGAAGTGGGATGGGCTGGCAGAGAGTGATTGGTTCAAGATCATCCAGGCAACCTTCATGGCTAAGGTGGGACCAGAACTCACAGTCTCTGATGATTGGCTCAAAATTGTCCAACCAGCTTTCCTGCCTAAGGCAGAACTAGAACTCACTATCTCCGGATGATTGGTCATACAGGCAGCTTTCCTGCCTAAGGCGGGACTAGAACTCACTATCTCCTGGTGATTGGTCACACAGCAACTTTCATGGCTAAGGCAGGACTAGAACTCACAGTCTCCTGGTGATTGGCCCAAAGTCACATTGCCGGCTTTCACGCCTAAGGCAGGACTAGAACTCACAGTCTCCTGATGATTGGCTCAGAATCACCCAGCCAGCTCTCCTGCCTAAGACCGGACTAGAACTCACTATCTCCTGATGATTGGTCCTACATGCAGCTTTCCTGCCTAAGGTGGGACTAGAACTCACTATCTCCTGGTGATTGGTCATACAGGCAACTTTTTTTTTTTTAATTTGATTTATATGCCGCCCTTCTCCGGAGACTCAGGGCGGCTTACAATGCGTTAAGCAATAGCCTTCATTCTTTTGTATATTTATACAAAGTCAGCTTATTGCCCCCACAACCTGGGTCCTCAATTTACCTACCTTAGAAAGGATGGAAGGCTGAGTCAACCTTGAGCCTTGGCGAGATTCGAACCTGCAGTAATTGCAGGCATCTGGTCTTAATAACCAGCTTAATAACAGGGTGCCTTAGACCACTGTACTTCCAAGGCTCTTGGTAGTACAACTTTCATGGCTAAGGCAGGACTAGAACTCACAGTCTCCCAGTTTCTAGCCGGGTGCCTTAACCACTAAATCAAACTGACTTTCTCAAAAATAGAAAAGCAGTTTTTTTTCTTCTTTTATTCGGGGAGGGGTCGTGACCTGCCAGCAGAGTCAAATTAGACATTTCCTGCATTTTTGACACACCGAGGGCAAAATATTTGCTGCCGCTGTGCTAGGTGGACCAAATCAATGAAGGGAGAGGAAGCTTCCTTGAAGTCCTTTTTTGTGAGTTTTTTTTCTTGGTTATTTTAGCTTACCCAGTCTTCAGTGAGAGATTAATTAATATGGATGCCCTGCGAGGACCCAAGAGCTGAGCCTGGCCCCAGCTCTATCTTTCTATCCGTCTCACCTTTGCAGACAAACAATAACAAGAAGGCTGTTATTGTCATCCTGCTTTGCTTGGGAAGGTAAAGATTTAACAAGTCGGCATCTGGACAAGACCATCGTGGACAAGAAAGAAAGAAGCAGAAGATCTTCCCCCCCGCCCGCCCATCCGCCAGCCTTCCCCCCACCACCACCAATTTTATGAGATGCAGTTATAATTGGGTCCATGGGGGAACGAGAGAAAAAGACACCATTTTAATTGAACATTTTGCATCATCAACACAAGCAGGGTTAAAATCCCGCCGTCGCCGAGTTGCCTCTGGGGTTACGGGCAGCTTGATAACTCAGAATTAAGAAAAATCAGGACGTCTCTGAAGAGGTAATCAACATCAGGCTAAATGCTTAAAAATAAAACTTCTAATGTCTCCTAAAAGCTCAACCAGCCACCTGCTTATAATTTGGCAGGATTTGCTGCTGAAAGCATCCGTTCAAAAGAAAATAAAATGAAAAAAAATAATAATAAAAAAGGCACAAAGTTAAAAAGAAAAGATGATTTGGGGGTGGGGTGGGTTGGGGTTTTTTTTTTGTTAGCCCTTTTGCCCGTTAACTAATTTATTTATTTTTTATTTAAAACATTGTTATAGCTGTCCATGTTATATACCAACTCTCGCAGAGGTGGTATTGAGCTGGTTCAGATCAGTTCGGGTAAACCGGTAGTGGCGACTTGCGGATGGGGTGGGGCCACCCACCCGCCCCGGTGCTATGCCATCCTATTTAGCCACATTTTCTAAGCCGCGAGCATGTGTGCAAGTCGTGTCCGCTTGTTCTGACCTAGGCTTCCTTAGAAAGTATACAGCACAATCTTAGTCCCGGCAAACCTCTTTTATTCATATGGCTGTGAATTATTGTCATTCCCAGTCCGAAAGGCTTCTCAAACAGTCTTTCAGGGGAGTGTTTACAAACACCCACCTTATCTCCCTTGGAATGCTGCCAGAGAACTAACTGCCACACGCAGGACAAGGCCAAACTTAGCACAGAGTCAAACAGAACTTTTCCACCGACCAGATGAACTAATTGCTTCCTGCAAAAGCTCATATCCCGTTTGCTTTTCCTTTATGTCTTATGGGAGGGGCCAATCATCTCCAAGCCTTACTCCCAAGTCGACCCTGTTTCCTTAATTGTTCCTGTCTCCTGGCAGCTCTGCGCATGTGCACACTGGGAACAGGCTCCCGCTGTTCTTCTGCCTCGCTGATGTCAGACTCCGGAGGCAGCAAAGAACTACCAGATGGCTTTGGCCTGCTCTCTGCCTCCGACTCAGTGCCCTCATCCAAGCCTTCCCCAGACTCCAGGACTGGCCCATGTTCCTCCCCAACCTCCTCACTATCCGAATCTGCTGCCAGCTCTTCTGGCCGCTGGCGGGCCACAACAGTGCTCACATTTTCGGTGCGCGGTGAACCAGTGGTAAAATTATGTGAAACCCACCTTTGCGAACTCTGCATGACATGGCTAAATATAACACCAAAGCTGCAGCTTGATCTCTCTGTCTCTGGGAAGGCTACCCTCTTACAGAGCTCAGAATTTTCTTTCTGGTGTCAATGAAACGAGAGATAATTCTGAAAGGAAAGATCCGACCTCAGATTCCCCCACCTTCTCCTGCAAACGGGAGCACCTGATGTCAAGAGGAGGAGGAAGAAAAAGGAGGATTTGAGACAGAAGACTGAAGCGAAGAGGGGTTTACACCCGCTCTCCTGTCAGCATAAAAATAAATGCAAATTATCCTGTTGCTTTTATGGAAGGGGAGGGGGAAAAAATCCCAATAAATCTCTTCGCTTGGAATTTTTTTTAAAAAAAGCAGAGATTCTACGCAGGGACTATAAGTAGTCATTGACTTACAACCACCAATCACCAAGAGACAGTGAGTTCTAGGTAAAGGCAAAAGTTCCCCTCGCGCATATGTGCTAGTCGTTCCCGACTCTAGGGGGCGGTGCTCATCTCTATTTCAAAGCCGAAGAGCCAGCGCTGTCCGACGACGTCTCCATGGTCATGTGGCCAGCATGATTCAATGCCAAAGGCGCACGGAACGCTGTCACCTTCTCACCAAAGGTGGTCCCTATTTTTCTACTTGCATTTTTTTATGTGCTTTCGAACTGCTAGGTTGGCAGAAGCTGGGACAAGTAACAGGAGCTCACCCTGTTACGCGGCACTAGGGATTCGAACCACTGAACTGCCGACCTTTCGATCGACAAGCTCAGCCACTGAGCCACCATGAGTTCTAGCCCTACCTTGGTCATGAAAGCCACTGGATGACTTTGGACCAATCACCAGGTGACAATGATTTATCATTTGAAGTCATCATTTGAAGTTACAACAGCACTGAAAAAAAGTGACTTAAGACTGGTCCTTAAAATTACAACTGTCAAAATATCCCTATGGTCATATAATCAAAGTTCGGATACTTGACAACCAGGCTTAGATTGATGGCAATTGCTGTCAGACTGGCCCCAGCTTGCTCCCTAGGAAAGAACGACCCTTGACTTCATAGGTGTTAGAGAAAATGTACTTTTATTAAAGATGTTAAGTGCAGTGCCAGTAAGGGAAACTCTGAAGAAAAAACACATGAAAATCATATAATGAAAGCAATCCCCAATCCCCAGTAGAAAGGAAGGGAGGGAGGGAGGGAGGGAGGGGAGGAAAGGGAGGGAGGGGAGGAAGGAAGAGAAAGAAGGAAGGAAGGGGAGGAGAGGAGAGGGAGGAGGGGGGGAGGGGAGGAGAGGGAGGGAGGGAGGGGAGGAGAGGGAGGAAGGAAGGGGAGGAGAGGGAGGGAGAGAGGGAGGGAGGGAGGAAGGGGAAGAAAGGGAGGGGAGGAAGGAAGAGAAAGAAGGAAGGAAGGGGAGGAGAGGAGAGGAGAGGGAGGATGGGAGAGAGGGGAGGAGAGGGAGGGAGGGAGGGGAGGGAGGGAGGGAGGAAGGAAGGGGAAGAAAGGGAGGGGAGGAAAGAAGAGAAAGAAGGAAGGAAGGGGAGGAGGGGAGAGGGAGGAGGGGAGGGAGGGGAGGAGGGAGGGGAGGAGAGGGAGGAAGGAAGGGGAGGCGAGGGAGTGGAAGGAGAGGGAGAGAGAGAGGGAGGGAGGAAGGGGAAGAAAAGGAGGGGAGGAAGGAAGAGAAAGAAGGAAGGAAGGAGAGGAGAGGAGAGGGAGAAGGGGAGAGAGGGGAGGAGAGAAGAGGGAGGGAGGGAGGGGAGGAGAGGGAGGAAGGAAGGGGAGATGAGGGAGTGAGGAAGGAGAGGGAGGGAGGGGAGGAAGGAAGAGAAAGAAGGAAGGAAGGGGAGTAGAGGAGAGGGAGAATGAGAGAGGGGAGGGGAGTTGACATGAGGAGAGGGGAGGAAAGGGAGGGAGGGGAGGGAGGAAGAGAAAGAAGGAAAGAAGGGGAGGAGAGGAAGGATGGGAGGGAAGGAAGGAGAGAAAGAAGGGAGGGAGGGAGGGAAAGAGAGAGGGAGGGGAGGGATGGGAAGGAGGGAAGGAAGGAGAAGGGAGGGAGGGAGGAAGGGGAGGAGAGGGAGGGAGGGAAGAAGGAAGGAAGGAAGGAAGGAAGGAAGGAAGGAAGGAAGGAAGGAAGAAAGGAAGGAAGGAAGGAAGGAAGGAAGGAAGGAAGAGTTTCTTCAGCTTTTCGGCAGAAACAGTGGTTGTTGTCTCTTTTGTTATTGCTGCTGTTATTTCCGTTTGTGTGGCTGCCCATGTCACGCAAGTAATTCTGGGCAACTCACAACAGGAGAAGAATGAAAGAAAACGGCATACCAGCCTTTCTCCTTAAGAAAGCTTCAAAAACCTTTATTTCATTCTGAGGCGAAACGGATGAAACCGAGCCATATGTGACATCCGATCCGTCACCAGGCAGGTAAAGCGTTCAGACTTTTAACTTTTATTGTTTTATGGGTTCTTTATTCAACCGAACTGCTCTATTGGCAATTTTGCTACGGTTTGGAATTGCATGTAACTTAATTGGTTTTGCTGTTTTACTGACTATAAATTGGTTGGCTTTTATTAGGTTGTCACGCTTTTGTAATTTTATTGTGCAAAGATTTGTAATTACTGGTTGTCTTCTGCCACCCTGATATTTTAATAGCCCTTTGAATTCTTCGTTGCTTATTTGCCTAGTTGAAAAGCATGTTATACAATTATCATTATTATTATTATTATTATTATTATTATTATTATTATTATTATTATTATTATTATTATTTGATTTGATTTGATTTATATGCCACCCTTCTCCGGAGACTCAGGGCAGCTTACAGTGCGTTAAGCAATAGCCTTCATCCTTTTGTATATTTATACAAAGTCAGCTTATTGCCCCCACAAACTGGGTCCTCATTTCACCTACCTTAGAAAGGATGGAAGGCTGAGTCAACCTTGAGCCTGGCGAGATTCGAACCTGCAGTAATTGCAGGCAGCTGGTCTTAATAACAGGGTGCTTTAGACCACTGTACTACCAAGGCTCAACAATTGTTGTTGTTGTTGTTGTTGGTCATATGGTCAGCCAGAAATTTAGACTGGATTTGGAATTTTTATCTATTTATCAACTCTTCCCAGAGATCTAGGACAGGCCAATGTTGTCGTTTGATGCTGTTGAAAGTCTCATAGCAGGATGTAAGCTGTTTCCAAGCAAAGCTGCCTTCTGCAATTGACTGATGGTGATTTTGTCAATGCTCGCGGTGTTCAAGTGATGCTCCAGATGTTTTTCGGATTGCACCCGAGCTGCCTATGAGTATTGGTTACTTCCTTTGCTTTCTTTTGCTACAGTTGTTCTATTTCTATTTGTAGACGTTTATATTTCGTGATCTTCTTCAGTTTAGAATAGAGTGGAGCGGAGCGGAGCGGAACGGAACGGAACGGAACGGAACAGAACAGAACAGAACAGAACAGAACAGAACAGAATAACAGAGTTGGAAGAGACCTTGGAGGTAACAGGAACAGAGTTGGGAGGGACCTTGGAGGTCATCTAGTCCAACCCCCCTGCTCACGCAGGAGATCTGTACTGGGGATTCGAACCGCCGAACTGCCGACTTTTCTGATCAACAAGCTCAGTGTCTTAGCCACTGAGCCACCTAGTCAGTTTCTAGTCCAACCCCCTAGGTCATTGATGGCTAACTTTTTTGCCATCACGTGCCAAAAGCAGGGGTCGCACGGGGGAAGGGGGTCATGCGTGCACGTACCCAGACCCATAATTCTATGCATCCCACCCCCTGCGCATGTGTGCGTGACTCCCCTCCCACGGGCCCACGCATCTGGCACGTGATGGCATGGTGGCCTCAGTAGGCCTGCTTTTTGCCCTCCCCAGGCTCCAGAGCCTTTCTAGGACCCTGGGGAGGTGAAAATGGCGTTCCCTACCCCTCCGGAGGGCCTCCGGAGGCCCTAAAAATGGCCCATTGCCAACTTCCAGAGGGACCGGAAGGCCTGTTTTTCTCTCTTCACAGGCTCCAGATGCTTTCTAGGAGCCTGGGGAGGTGAAAACAGCCTTCCTCACCCCCCCACCCCCAGAGGGCCTCCGGAGGCCAGAAACGGCCCATTTGCCGATGGTTGCAGTGTCCCAGGGTCATGCAGAAAAAGCAATTACTACCTAACTGCCTTCCACTGAGGATCTCTATATTGCGTGAGTCAAAAAGAGGGCTGTGAAAATATCTACAGACCCCTCACATCTTGGACATAAATTGTTTCAACTCCTACCCTCAAAACGAGCTATAGAGCACTGCACACCAGAACAACTAGACACAAGGACAGTTTTTTCCCCGAACGCCATCACTCTGCTAAACAAATAATTCCCTCAACACTGTCAAACTATTCACTAAGTCTGCATTACTATTACTATTAATCTTCTCACCATTCCTATCACCCATCTCCCACTTATGAGTGCATGACTGTAACTTGTTGCTGTATCCTTACAATTCGTATTGATTGTTTCCTAGTATGATTTGACTGCTTATTTGTACCCTATGACTATCATTAAGTGTTGTACCTTATGATTCTTGACGAATGTATCTTTTCTTTTTATGTACACTGAGAGCATATGGACCAAATTTCTTGAGTGTCCAATCACAGTTGGCCAATAAAGAATTCTGTCTGTCTGTCTGTCTGTCTGCCTGTTTGTCTGTCTGTCTGTCTGTCTATCTATCTATCTATCTATTCTATCTATCTATCTATCTATCTATCTAAGCCAGGTTCACTTAACCACCATATTACCAATTTAACAATTGTAAGGTAAACACTTAACAAGAGGTTAGAATATTGTAAAAATTATTTTGATATGACTTGTATAAGATATAAAGTAAAGAAGAATAAAGATATGTTTAGAATTGTTATGCAAATGTAAAAATGAGTGAAAGTGAATTTGAAACTAATTTTGGATAGATATAGTGGATTTATATAGATGAAAATGTTAAATTTGAGGTAAAATTGGTTTTTTCTTAAGTTTTGAATTTCTTTTTTATCTTCTTTTTTCTTTTTTTGTTTATTTATAACAGATGTAATGGAAATTGTGAATTGAGCTTGTGAAAGGAATGTAAGCGTGGTAACCATCTATGACCGGAACGAGATTTTTGCTCTTGAAAGTTATGTTTTTATGTTTAAATTTGAAAAAATAAATAAAAAATATTTACAAAAAAAAAGAGAAAACAATTGCAGTGATCCACTTAATATTTGTGGGGAGAAAAGTCATAAAATGGAACAAGACTCACTCAACAACTACCTCGCTTAGCAGCAGCAACTTTGGGCTCCATTGTGGTTGTAAGTTGAGGACTAACTGTAATCCTATTATTACTAGTATTATTCCCCTAATAAAATAATTCTAACAAATTTTGCATTCTTTCCTAAGGCAAAAGGCACAATTCTCTATCTGGCAGTCATTTGAATTTATCACCTCCTTAGCTGGGAAGGCAGTGAATAATTGCAATGCTTCTGCTTTAATGATGCCATTAGTATGCAGATCCCAGAGACCAATGTTGTTTTTTTGGGTCTGAATTTTGAGACTAGAAAGAGAGGGACACACTTCAATTCATTGGATTGATTTAACCAACCCATAGTCCATACTGCATCCAGTGGCTTAAGGTGAGTAATAACCTTTTGACAACAGGATTCACAGCTGTCACGATATCCTGATTGCTAAATAAAATTAAGATTACAACAGCTGTGATGATGCCGTTAGTTGATCACGGGAATTGGGTTACCCAAATTTGGCTGACGCAGGCATCCTCTAGCGCAGGGGTCTCCAGCTTTGACAACTTTAAGATTTGTGGGCTTCAACTTCCAGAATTCTTCAGCCAGCATGACAGCCGCCATTTTGTTTGTTAGATTTAAGTTCACCATCACAGTTGGCCTTTGCTCCTCTTTTAAGTCTTATGGGAGGGGCCAATCATGTCCAGGCCTTACTCCCAAGTTGTCCCTTTTGTTTTAACTGTTCTTGCCTTCTGGCAGCTTCCTTGATGGAGGCTTAGAACTAGAAACTAGTTCTTTCTCTCCGATGCTCCACCTCAGCCCCACTGGAGCCAAGAAAACAATCCGTACCATGCTTGATGGACCAGAACAATGTCCAATGAGACAGACAGTGGACAAATCTCATTTTAATGAGCCACCTTAACCTTTCTCTGACTATAAATGGATGATGAATCTGCAAAGGCCAGGAGAATGAGATAAACAGAATAACAGGGTCGCAGAGGTAGGTTTCATATATTGTTACCACCGGTTCACCCTGCATGTGCATGCTCGCTTCGCATGCGCGCCTTCCACAAATGCGCCCTGTCAGATATTGCCTGCATATGATGCACTAGAGACTAGAAGGGGTTAAGTCTTTACAGACATCACATGTGACTATATCAGCCAATGAACTCTCTTATTGGACTCTTACCTAGAAACCACTTGGATATCTTCCCCTTTTTTTCTCTCTCTCTCTCATCTATCTCTCAGCGAGACAACACGTGAACTTCTCTCTCCTCTCAACATCTGAGTCATACAGTTAGGGTAAAAATGCAACAGGACACCCTGTTCATTATTGTATGCATGTATATATCTGTAAATAATAAAACAACCTTTTGAACCTGAAGCTGTATTGACCAAATAACTTCCTCATAGAACCAAATGAGCATGACCATCAATATATATCTGATACGCCCACCCTTCCGCACATATGATTTGCTCTCATGCGCAACTTCCTGTTGTGGCTCCGTTACCTGAGCCTGTGTCATCGGCAGGAGAGGACTCCGAGAGTGAAGGAGAGGAGTTGGCAAGGCCTCCCTCTTCAGGACCCTCCTCTCTGGCAATGCCTTCGGTGTCCACCGAAGGTCAAGAGATAGGGCCGGGGCCAAGCACGTCCACGCAGCCACAGGTGGACAGTGATGAGGGAAATGAGTCTTGGCTGGATCCTCGGCAGTGTCACAGAGATAAGTGCGTGCAACAGAAGAAAAGGCGTGCCAGAGATTAAGCTGAGTCACTGGATCACACCCCACAGGGTATAAAAGGGGGTGAGGTGGCCATTCAGACTCTGTGACGGACAAAACTAACTACTATCGAGTCACATTGCATCTTTGGAAACAACATTATCTGCCTTGGATTTATTTTACGAACTGGACAATGCTTGAACTGTGTGTATTTTGTTTATGAGTAAAGTTCTTGGCAAGCAGTTACTGGGTTGCTGCCAAGCCTCTTATCGGAAGAATTAGTTGTCTGCCAGTTTATTTAACCCCCGGCTGTCTGTTTGTGTGCGTGTGTGAGACAGGGACAGAACACTTCCATACATGCGCCCAGCCTCTAAAACATGGCTAAATAGGACAGCATAGCACCAGGGCGGGTAGGCAGGTCCATCCGCGATCGCAGCTACTGGTTCACCTGAATTGGTCCGAACTGGCTGAATACCAGGGATGAAATGCACCCAGATCAGACCGGATTTTCTGGTCCTGTAGCAATCTTGGCCGGTGGTTTGGTGATCCGGTAGTGATGGTGGAGCAAAGCTCCACCCACCCACCCAGGTGTAATTACTTCCTGGTTTTAACCAGGAAGTAATGTGTTTTTTACCTTCTGCGCATGGAGAAGGTCTGCCCGTGCATTTCTGAACTGATAAGGAAGGTAAGTAGATTTCACCCCTGCTGAATACTGTACCACCACTGCAGGATTGATAGGGATCTTGGAGGTCTTCTAGTCCAACCCCCTGCTCAAGGAGGAGACCCTATAACTATTCAAACAAATGTTTGTCCAGTCTCTTCTTAAAGACCTCCTGTGCTGGAGTACTCACAATTTCTGGGAGCAAATCATTCCACTGATTAATTGTTCTGACTGTCAGAAAATTTCTCCTAGGTTGTGTTGTGACCTAGGCTTCCAGAGTCCTTAAAACAGACGAGTAGTCCCAAAAACCTCTTTTCTTGCAACAGCTGTGAATTACGTTCATTCACAGCTGAGTCCCAATTAGTTGCAAAAAGTCCTTCAGGATAATTACCAACCTTTATCTCCCTTGACACTCTGCCAAAGACAGACTTGGCAAAGCCACACAGAGTCCAGAATCAAACAGAGATGCCGACTGGGAACAACGTTGCTTTCCTGCAAAGTGCCCTCGTGCCTTTGCTCCTCTTTTAAGCTTATGTGAGGGACCGATCATGTCCAGGCCTTACTCCCAAGTTGTCCCTTTTGTTTTAACTATTCTTGCCTTCTGGCAGCTCTGCGCATGTGTGCACTAGGAACAGATTTCTCCTGTTCCTCTGCCTCTCTGCTGTCCGACTCTGGAGGCTTCGGAGTCTGCGCATTGCTCCCAGATGGCGCAATGGACTGGTCCAGCCTCCTTACTGTCCTCCCCAGCCTCCTCACTGTCCGACTCCTCTGCCAGCTCCGCAGACTGCTGGCAGACCACAACAAGTTGCTTCTCTCCTTGAGTATTGCTTCTTGTCCTGCTTTCAGGTGCTTTGGAGAATGGGTTGACCCCCTCTTCTCTGTGACAGCCTCTCAAATATTAGAACACTGCTATCATGTCTCCCCTAGTCCTTCTTTTCATTAAACTAGATACCTTGCAACCGTTCGTCATATATTTTGGCCTCTAGTCTCCTCATCATCTTTGTTGCTCTATCCTGCACTCTTTCTAGAATCTCAACATCTTTTTTTTTTTTTTTTTTTAATATTGTGGTGACCAAAATTGGATGCAATATTCCAAATGTGGTCTTACCAAGGCATTATAAAGCGGAAATTATTCTCACCAGTTTATTTATTTATTTATTTATTTATTTATTTATTTATTAAATTTATATACCGCCCTATTCCTAAGGGACTCAGGGTGGTGAACAGCGAACGATAAAAATACATGTAATACAAACGTTAATAATAAAAAACCAATTAAAATATACTAAACATTCTGGTCCTAGATAATTCAAGACATCCTAGTTTAAAATAAAATCAAAAAGCAATATAAAGGGAAAGTTAGGCCAGCCCGGCCTGCTGAAACAGGAATGTTTTGAGGGCACGGCGGAAAGTGCGCAGATCCGGAATCTTCTGTATCTCTGGGGGGAGCTCGTTCCAGATGGTGGGTGCCCTCACAGAAAAGGCTCTCCCCCTGGGGGCCGCCAGTCGACATTGTTTGGCTGACGGCACCCTGAGAAGCCCCAGTTGCTGGGAGAAGCAAGCCAGGAGATTACACATCAGATGTAGGAAAGAATGAACGTTCTATGAAATAACTTGGTCTGCAGGCTTTGTAAAGTTTCATTTAGCTGATATTAATAAGGAGAAACCTTTCACCTTTTAAGTAATTGGCTTAAAACGGGGAGTCTGCCAAGTAAGTAACCTTTTCTTGGAGTGTAATTATTTTATGTCTAACTCCATAAATGGGCCCTAGGTATTCTGTGACGGACATCTTGGAAGAATGTATGATAATAGTAATTTATTAAAGTACTCAATTTCACCCAAGAGAGGAAACCTTACATTAAGGGAAGCACATGGCAACTGTAAAATTCAGCCTGAAAATGCCACCTCTTTTCTTTTTTCTTTTTCTTTTTCTTTTTCTTTTCTTTCTTCTCTCTCTCTCTCTCTCTCTCTCTCTCTCTCTCTCTCTCTCTCTTTTTTGCTGCTCTTTCTCCTCAGTGTGAAGCACGTAGGAAAACGGTGCTTAGAAAAGGAATAGGGAGAACGATAAATCAATCGTGAAAAACTGAATTAACAGAAAAGACCTCGACGATTATGGAGGATTGCATTGGGATAACAGTTGAGTTGAGAGTAATATAGGGTATATAGTTTATGTATGGGCTGTTGAGAGCCCTGTGATTGAAATAGAAATATGATAACGGAGTTGGAAGGGACCTTGGAGGTCTTCTAGTCCAACCCACTGCTTAGGCAGGAAACCCTACACCACTTCAGACAAATGATTATCCAACATCTTCTTTAAAACTTCCTGTGTTGGAGCATTCACAGCTTCTGGAGGCAAGTTGTTCCACTTATTATTTGTTCTAATTGTCGGGTAATTTCTCCTTAGTTCTAAGCAGCTTCTCTCCTTGATTAGTTTCCCTCCATTGCTTCTTGTCCTGCCTTCAGGTGCTTTTGAGAATAGCTTGACTCTCTCTTCTTTGTGGCAGCCCCTGAGATATTGGAACACTGCTATCATGTCTCCCCTAGTCCTTCTTTTCATTAAACTAGACA